GCTCTGTGACTCAAGACGCCCAGTCCCCCTAACCACCCCCAGCCCGGGGAAATGCCTGCACAGGGAGGCCTCAGTGCAGGAGATTGGGACTTCCCGTGGGAGGACCCTCTGGCCCAGCGTTGGGGCCTGAGGCTGGCCTGGGCTCCGTGATCGGTTGGCACCAGCTGCTCTGCCCACGCTGAGGCCCCCTGCCCAGCTGCACCTGTCAGATGTGCCCCCTGTCCCCTGTGCCTACCAGGCACTTGCCCTCTCATTTCAGAGGTGGGGAAACTGAGACAAGGCAGTGGGCAAGCTGCTTTGAGGACACCCATGGCATGTACACACACACACACACACACACACACACACACACACACACACGCTGCTTCATTTGATACAGTTTGCCTTGGAAGCCTATGCATCCTGGAGGGGGAGACCTTCAGGGTCATTTTCTCCAGGGGCCCAGAGAGGGCAGGGTCTTGCCCAAGGTCACACAGCAAGTCCGCGGTACAAGCTGACCAGACTCTTATTCCAGAGCTTTCCTGGTCCAGGGGATGGGACGCATATGTGCATGGGAGGGGGCATCGACGATGATGAGATGACGGAGATGACGACAGGGAGCAGGAGAGAGGGAGGAGGCGGGGCTGGGTTTGCATCCAGCCTCCCCTCTCCCCCTCCCCTGCTCCCTTCTCTCCTTTGCACGCAGGGGTTTGTTTGGAGAATGACTCACAGGAATGCAGCAAAATCCTGATGGATGGGAAGGCAGGGCTGCAGTACCCTGAAAACCTCTTCAGGGTGGGGAGGCGGGACTGAACCATGGGGCCAGAGAGGGTGATGATCAGGGGAGCCCTGCATCAGGGGAGACTGAGGCCCTAGGAGAATATTGGACACTGCCCGCCGTGGAGCCCTCCTTCATCAGCATGAGCAGGCACGCGCACACACACACGCACACGCACACGCACACGCACAACTGCAGCAGCACACCCGGGCTCCAGCCGTGCCGCCTTCTCTCTGGACCCGTCTCCCCCCTGCTGGCCCTGCCCAGGTTTTCCATCTTTGCGCACTGGCCCACAGTAGGTGACTGAACAAGTGCATGCTGGCAATGACCGTGACCCAAGCCGGACCCTCCCAGGTGCACGTGTTATCCCTTCATTCCTCTAGCCCTTAAGGGTGCGTGCTATTCTCCTAGTCCTTTAGCCAAGCTTCCTGAGGGCCTACTGTGCGCCGGGCACTGCCAGGGCTGGGGAGGCCGGGATGAGAGGGTGCCACCCTCTGTTCTCCACCTCACAGTCAGAAGGAGGTGGCGTGTGTGTGTGTGTTGGTGGGGGGGGGGGGTCTCAACGGGCCATCAGGGTCAGGTGAGGCCCCGAGGATGAAGTTGAGAGCAGGCATAGGGCGCGGTAGCTGCAAAGGGTGACCGAGCTTGGTGAGCCCGGGCAGGTGCCGCTAGCTCACATGGCTGGAATCTAAAGGTGGATGAGAGATGAGGCTGGGGTCAGCCAGGGCCCCCGATGCTGGGGAGCAGCCGTAGGGGAGGCCTTCCTCCAGGGTGCCACATCTGGGCGTCTCTGAGGAACCACAAGGCATTCACCTGGCAGGACCTCGTGGCCTCCCACCGGGGGATGGCACCCCCCCCCCCCGCGGGGGCAGCCCCCCGGCCGGGCCCCGGCCCCCGGGGCGGGGCCCTACCCCCCCCCCCCCCCCCACCGCCCCCGGGCCCTGCCTCTCGGTGCCTGCTGACAGTCGTCACGCGGGTGTGCGGCCCGGGATGACCAGATCTGTGTTTTCAAGAGAAACCGGAATTTGGATTTTTATGTGAACGCTCCTGGCTCAATTAACAAAAGGCATAGTGTGGTTTAAACCGCACATGTCCACAGGCAGAGGGCCTCGTTCATAACGTCTGCTCTGTGGGGCGCTTGGTTTTTTGCATTTGTCCCTTTTATGTTGCTGACTTCACTGGAGACAGCCCAGATATTCACTGAGCTGCGACTCCATGCTAGGCGCAAACAAGACGCCAAGCGATGGAGCTGCCATTTTAGTGGAGGGGAAGACAGTGGACAGAAAGACAGATAAGGCAGGTGATAAGAGTTAATGAAGAAAAAGCGGGGCTGCAGAGACGGTGGTGGGAAAAGCTGAGCAGACATCTAGGAGAAGGATGTTGTAGGTAGCAGGAACAGCCAGTGCAAAGGCCCTGAGGCCGGGGCGTGCCGGATGCATTTGAGGAGCCTCGAGGAGGCCCACGTGGCTGGAGCAGGAGGAGGAGGGGGAGAATGGGAAGAGATGAGGTCGAGGTAGTAGACATCAGATTGTGTAGGTGATTGTAGGCTGTGGTACAAGTTTGGTTTTAACTCTTGTGTGAGGTGGGAGGCATGGAGTGAGGGAGGGATGCATCCGACTTGGGTTTCAGCAGGCTCCCTCTGGCTGCCATAAGGGCCGAAGGGGGCAGGGGCGGGCCCAGGGAGGCTGAGAAGAAGCACCTGGCACTTACATGTAAAGACAGAGAGTAAGTTAGTGGTTGACAGGGGCTATGGTGTGGAGGAGGTATGGGGAGCAACTACTAATGGGTATAGGTTTCTTTGGGGGGCCATGAAATTGTTCTGAAATCAGACAGTGATTATAGCTGTACCACGCCATGAATATACCCCAAACCACTTTTAATTTTTTTTAATGTTTATTTATTTTTGAAAGAGAGAGAGAGAGAGAGAGA